GAGAGAGAGAGAGAGAGAGAGAGAGAGAGAGAGAGAGAGAGAATGGATTCCAGCGATTGCACACGCTCTTGCATGTGACAGAAAAGAAAGAAGGTGGTTGCAATCTCGGGGACCCCTGCTGGCTTGGTGGGGGTGGTGGAGAGGGGGCGAGAAGCGCAAATGAGTGTGCGCACTTGGAAGCCAGGAGGGGGTTGTAGCTGGAAGAGGCTTCCTTAGATTCAGGGTTTCCTCGCTCATCTTGAGTGCTTCATGAGAAGCTGTGTTCGCCCCCTCCCCTCACCCCTTGCGCGCTTGTGGACACCCTGTGGGCAGAGAACATGCTGTTCCCCGGGGCGCGCTGTGGTGTGCTGGACAGATCCCACTGAGGACTGATTGCCTGAGCCCGGCCGCCTACCCAGGCAACTGCAGCTTCTGCCTGCGGCTAGAGGCTTGGATCCGCAGCCCCAGTTGTGGATCAGCCTATGGCTCCTTGGAGCCCGATATTCTTCTGTGGGACAGACAAGTTATTAAAATGGCCCTGGAAGTTGGGATAGGGGCTATTACATAACGCCACCCCAGGGCCGCGGGACAGAATGGAGCTAGGGTGACGCAGGGCCAGGCCTAGCTAACAGGGGCTGGGGGCTTAAGCTGTCAATTTCTCCAGGCTCAGCTGAGTTTCAGCCTCCCGAGTGGAGAGGGTTTTTAAATCCTGGGTGCTGCGGTCAGATTGGCAGCCTGCGCGTTATGTTCCCGGGGAGACTCCGACAATGGCAGCGAGAGGAAAAACGGTCCCATCCGAAAGCAGTGGGATGCGGCTGAGTTTGACAATCTGAAGAAGTAGCTGATCAGCCATTTTAGTCTTTGCAGTTCTCCATATTAGTTAGCCCCATGACTCCACGCGGTGATCCCCCAGGAAGCTCTGTCAAGGCTTCAGAAGGAGCATCAGAATCCTAGCAATTAGCGGTCTCAAGGTTCTGTGGGAAAGCTCGCCCGCCCTGGCCGGCCGCTCCCTCCCCGCGCGGCCCTGGGTAGTGCAGCCGCAGACGCGCTACCTCTCTGCCCTCTTTCCAGCAGCTGCCATCATTTCTTGCCAATTGGGCTGGAGTGATTCTCTGCTGAGATGCTCGCAGCTTTTATTCCATAGTTAACAGTTTAGCTGGGGGAGGGAATTTGCCGAAAGCTCACCCCACTACTTGACTAGCGTGCCAAGAAGCTTCCGGAAAATTACCACAGGAAAAGCCCAACTGCAGTATTCTCACATTAAGCAAACAACTAGTTGCTATTATACTTTCCCACATAAAGCCTTGATTGTGTATTTGATAGGTCAGCATGATGATAACAGTCTGGGACATCATCAGCTCGTTTTAAAACCAGACTCACCTGAACGAAGGCATGAATGGACGAAGACTGATAGAACAGGGGTTTTACTGTGATCTCTTTGATGCCTAGCAACCAACTGTTTACGAAGAATAGATTTAAGGTTTCCATGTTACATGCTTCTTCAAATGATGATTCTCTGAGGAAAAAAAAAAAGGAGGATGGGAGGAAGAGGAACACAGAAAGAAAGAGAATGAATGGAATGCTTTAAGTGGATTTGTGGTTTTTAATTCCCTACAATACCTTGGACAAATTTAATACAAATATATATATATATATATTTACAAAAAAGCACGTAAAATAATGTGGAAGACTTTTGTCCTTGACTCACCTAGCTGATTTAGATCATTCATTTGATATGAAGACATTTCCATTTTTGTCCTGAATAAGTTTGGCATGCTCCTGTACTAAGAATCTCACTGAATATGTAATGGCATACTAACATGAAAATACTTTGAAAAGCAAAGGATGTTAAGGAAAGGTGTCTTCCTGGGCATATGGAGGAGGATGGTTGTCAAAGCTAAGTGCAGATATTTGCTAGCTCTACGTTTTGAAAATGGTGTTCGGTGATTGAGAAGTTCCCCACTAGGAAAAGCAAGAGGAGCTTGTTGAGAAAATAATAAACATTTCCACTATGAAAAAAAATGAGTATGCTTTGATTCTCAGAAATCTTCAGTGTTGGGGGTTTGCAAAGACCAAAGGTTATGACTAGGTTACTTGTTGAGGTTCTTAATGCCAATGTTTGTGTATAGTTTCATTATTAATATAAATAATGTTTCAAATTAAATTATATTTTCCATTCTTATGGGAATTTTACTCTCTAGAAATTGTTAACATGAAATATATATCCTTTTCTATTTGGAGATTTTTTTTTAAGAACAATAGAAATCATAAAATGAGTTGCACTCTTCTCAGAGGGATAGATATTATAGAAAACACAAAGTCAGTTGTTAAGGAATGCATGGAAATCTCTAATGGGAAAATCATCAAGAGAAGTCTTGATCATTTAAGTCCTACTCAGAGTTTCATTGCAAAGTTTATCTTTTTCTTTCTTAATCAGTGGAATTCATAGCTCTTTCTGTATCAAGTAGAGGCAAATAGAGCAAATATTTTGGTAATTAAGATCAAACTAGCTTCCTCCCCTAGTATTTTCTGTAGAGCTAAGTCATTTTCACTTTTAATTTCTATCATTAAAATGATATGTCCCATCAGCCAAGTCTTGTTCTTCCTCCTACTTAATCTATTAACAAAAATCACACAGAACTAAATTTCTATCTTATGAGCATGGCTCTTTATAGATCAATAATATAATGTTTTAAAAAAAGAGAGGTTATTAGTTTCCTAATTTACTTTTATTCTTCAGATGGGTGAATTTATTTGAAACTGTTGAGTTTGACATTGATTTAAGGATGCAGAGAGAACCACTGAATGGGTTATGCAAACAAAATACAATTATTATTTTCTGAACTGGGTAAAATAACTGTGGCATCACATTCAACTCCCACATTCTTCTCTTCCACAGTCTCAGTGGAATAATTAAAGTTCCTATTTGTTCCCCTTTGTTTCCATGGGTACCTGAGGAAATAGACAGATTTTCAACTACTTTCTTTCTCTTTCTCCCTTCTCCATCACTCACTTTTATCTTTCTTCTTCTCTTGTCTTCTTAAATGAAAATAGTTTTCTTTTCTCTAAGGTTGTTAGAAAACCAAGCCTTCATTTTGAGAGGTGATACAACATAAACCTAGAAACAAATAGAGACACAAATCTTAAGTGTTTAGCATTTGAAACCAATGATGGGCCTCAAAAATTCATTCTTTTCTTTAAAAAAATATGTACATAGAATGTCTTCCTAAAAATAAAGATAAACTCTAGTGGTACATCAGTTAAAGCACTTACCTACTAAAAGAAATGATGGTAGTTTGTACTCAGGGTTTAGCGGGAGAAAGAGGTGACAGTCTAGTTCCATAAAGATTTCAGTCTTGAAAACCCTGCAGGATCAATCTATTCTATCTTACAGAGTCATAAGTCACAAT